ACGCACAGGTCCAATAACACAATTCATAGAGTTCTTACCTCCAGCATCGACCCTCTTCTGGATAAGATCCTAACAACTTAGAGTGAAACAGAACAAATAGAAGAACTACTGTTTTCAAGGCATTACAATTTACATGTAAGCTGACAGCACGATACTGAATGGGTGGGTACCTCTCTGCTCTGACTGAATCTGAGATGAAACAAGTACACGTTCTAATATCATCTCTATTGTTTTGATCACGTAGCGATGGTCTGTTAAAGCAAGACCGAGTAAAGCTAAGAATAGACAAATCGGTCGGTTTGGATAGCCTGTTGACCATGAATACTATTTTGATCTCTGAAATACACTCATTTGCAAACAAATTTGGTTTTGCGAGAGACTCACCTGGAACCCAGCTGAATCTCTCGTTTTTGATGTTTTCAGGCAACTGAATGTGCTGCGCCAGGCCGCCTCATGTCTCTCAGTATTTCACTAATTTCGGGCACTTTGGTTTCAGTTAGAATATAAGGTTGACGGAAGCTTGGGGACTGCGCCCCAAGAAGGGCGAAACCGGTCGAGGGCTGTCGAAAAATTTCAACAACTGTATGAGTAGTATTTTGATTTCTGTTTAGCAAAAAGGTGAATCGGTAACTCAACTGAGTTTAACAACATAACTAACCTAACCGGCGATTGTAAGCTTTGCTGACTGTGTGAAGGTGTTTGGTGATTTACAATAAACGTGCTACGTGAAGCCGGGTGGAGCAACTGAAGACGAGAAGCACTGTACAATCGTTTCATCTTTATTGTATCTCACGAAACTCCCGTATAGAGTTTCGAACCCACGAATTGCAAATTGGCACTGTGATCATCTAACTGTTCGGCGACGAGCTGCAGGTCGGCAATTTGATTAGCTCGCACTTAGGACATGTGCCGCTCATCCCCTAATCACGGAATCCACATGACGTTGTCAATCTAGCAGGCAGTCGACACATGTAGCCTTACGATCTGGATGCTGTGATTGCAGGAGTGCGAGTTGGGCACTCTGCCGATCAGTCGCCCGTAGTTGAAAGGTTAACTATTCAACCACTGACTGGGATGTCGCAGGTTCAAATCGTGAGAGGTGCAGTACTGGTGAATCCCAGTAACCAGGTAACATTTGTAGTGTTTTTGGCCTCACTTACAGGATGATATTGAAAACTGAGTTCCTCTGATCATCGATAACGGACCGAGGGATTGTAGGATCACTTTATTTTGTTCCACATTTTGGCGTAAACTTCTTGAAACGCCGAAGTTAATCCTGGCCTTTTTATTCCACGCGCCGATTAGACAGCGCTGAACACCAAACCTAATAGGGCACTACATGTGTGTTAAATAGCTTATGCTTTTGTTTCGAGTGTCCGCATTTCAATGTTCTAAAGCATTGAGTGAGTGCATCTCGACTACTTGGGCAACTTAGCAGTTCATCCGAACCCAAATGCTTCCTTGGGTTGCATGGCAGGCCTTGGGCACTACTTCCTTTGGAACGACAGACCAGATTACAACTGTGGCTCCCACTCCCAGATAAACCGGCAAGACGCTTAAACTTATGGATTCCCTTTCTGCCAGGAGTAGCACACACCGAAGGACGCCCTACCAGTAGTTTCAGTCACCGGTTCTTACATGAGTTTTACGAACAATTACAAGCCAAAAATAAGCCGGGATATCATATAGTTTCACCTGACGAGTTGATTTAGTATGTCTTTAGAAAATATGACCTTGGTGAACAGTTCTAGAACGGTGCACGACTGCTGAACTTGGAGAATATCAAACGGATGTGTCTCCCAGCAATTGAGACAAACTATGGCAGACGGCCAATCAAATCGACCAAATCCTCGTTGAATCGAAGTGACGGGACGGCAGGCCATGAAAGTCAGAAAAAGTGGGGGTACACAACACTCGTCAGTTCGAGCGAGACTTAAATCACATCTGGGTAAGGTAATCGCTAGCAAAATTCTTGGATATCATGCCACTGGAGAATGCGCTTGGAAGTCGGTGCGTTTAAACGCAACAAGTGCCGAACGTTCATTCCCTGATCTCAATTAGGTGTACTCTAAAACGGAATCAGTCGATTAATCCAGTAGGCGGTCTTTGCCTGAGTTAGTATGCCTAAATATTCGAGCTACTTGACGCGACGAAATGCATCCGGTTGCGACGATAAAAATCTCCCTTCGGATTGACCGTAACCGCTATTTAACGGCGAAATCTAAAAACATGGGACCAGTCACCAATATAGACGATTTCGAGAGCTCCTTTATCACATTTGAAAAGAATCGAATAGATATCATGTCTTGATGTTATTCTAGGCCATACAACAGGGACACACTTCTAGATCTCGATCACGGAATTCCAGGATGCAGGGAACGTTTTAGCTAATCACATGGATCCGTGGAACTCATGCCTATGACTCCAAAGCCATATACCGTCAACCGTACTCCACTATCAGAGGGCGACTGTGTGGGACAGATCCTCCACAAACTGTAGGAACGCAAAGAAAATGCATCGGTTTTTTGCAGAGAGAAGCATGTGGTACCGGCCAAACTGATACAACAGTCGAGAAACCAGCACTGCTTTTACTTAAGCGGCTAGCGACTGGAAAACATCCATACGAACAGCTCAACCGAGGTTTCCACCATGGCACAGGATCGATCATCACACAGTACCGTATACTCGGACATCGCAGTAGCTCGGAAGAATATCTCTAACTAGCTTCCACGGGTATCATTGGCAATTCCACCCTACGGAATACCATGCAGCTGGATGGATTACCAAGTTTATACGTTCCTACTGGTCCGTAAACAAAGCCCAAGATTGGAAGTATGGTTAATATCCTCGCGGCATTGATACACTTGCCGAAGTACGCCAGCTGTACCGGTTATCCCCAATCCTCTACAGTTCACTGCATTTTTGGATAGTCAAATATGCTGATGGCGTTTTGCCAAGTGACACCCTGAAAAACCTGGGACTAGTGACGCCTTAATGGGACTCAAAATCAACTTGAGACGTTGTGCCAGATTATCAACCTCTGAACGTACGGTCACACTACGTGGCTTGACTATCGAATGTGTTTCCATACCCGAATACTACGAATTTTTTCTCCCTAGCCAAACAGAAACGAAGAGTGTCCCAGTCTAGCCATCGACATGTTCTTCGACATGATGCAAGAGGTGGCTTCTGCGGTGAGAGGTATCCAGAGGTATCCTCTGCAGTGGTGCCTGCAGAGGTGTGTTTGCGGGCCAGATAGCGAACTTCATGGTCTCCAGGCTATCTACGCCATCTGTCGCCGAAAACATGAGTGGTGATAAGCCTACCGCCCAGCGTCAAGTATGGGTCGCTGTGATCTGAGATATTCATGGAGCAGCCCACGCATTGGTGACTGGAGATCGAACGTTTGCAATCATCGCGCAGCTCAGGAACAAAGCGATGACAAACTACACAACAGGGGCACGCCAATCTCTCCAATAACGCGGCTGTTTCACGTTTGAGGATCCCACGTTGGGACGTATTGGCCGTGATAACTGTGCATACCACACCAATAGTGCTCAAGCTAGTTGGCTGATCGTTTTACCGAGCCCCTCCGCTTAATCACTTGGCGATAATACGATGTTGGTAACGCACCACAGTTCAGCTCCATAGATTAGGGCACTCACGAATATGACAATTTTGCGTGGTCAGCAAGACCTCATTCGCTCATTCTTAATCGCCAAGCGTGCTTTTTCCAATCCGGCTTTATCATCAAACATCCAAGTGATAGCTTTGGGCATCCCAAATAAACCGTTTGTTAGGTGAGATGAGTTAGAATCGGGGATACTGAACCACTCATTCCGCAAGTTTCTATTTCCCGTAGCTTTTGGTGGACAAGTTGAGACTAGTAGACAAGGTCATCACGCCCGCAAAACAATCAAGTGACTACTTCTGATTTATGAACACTGAAGAATCATCGATAAGTTGAATGAAAAGTGCGCAGGTAACCGACCACACGTGGGTACTGAACAGTTCCTTAAACTGGATAACGCATATATTCACTGTTCACAAGTGAAGTATACCGAGGAACTTCAACCGATAACTCCTATCCAGGCTTGGGCAACTTGGCAGTATCTCAGCCCTCGGACGGAATGGCAGCTAGACGCCCAGAGGTTGTTACGGCTGAACGATTGAGTAATGAATGGATCTATGACCAGGGAATACACGACGAACCAGGGTAAGTGGAACCGAAAGTCTAATTGGAAAGCAGTGAGCAAATGCTAGTCAAAAGTACTAAGCCCCTCCTATTAATATGCGCCTTGGCTTGACCAATACCTTGGTTCCGGACTTTTGAAATTCGAGGGTTGCCCAAATGGCTTTAGAGTGGAATTCTGCGTTCAAAAACACAAGCCTTATCCACCACACCCCCAAACTATGTATAATGACTGCATGCGACAGCTAAACACAGTGACTGTGTCGCTTCTTATACGGAACAGTTTGTTTGTGTCCACTCGTCATTTGGTTTACCAAGCGAATTTATTGAACTAGCAAAGGCCACCGAAGCATCCCGTCTAATTGGCAACAGAATTTTACAAAAATAATCAAACTAGACGGCCTCACACCTCCTGCGATTTCAAGCCGTTCAAAAGAGAGAGGTTTTTTTTCGAATGACTCTGTAGGTGCATCGGTGGATAGGGACTGAACGGATGTTGAAAAAAAATTCCCAATAAAAAGCAAAAGTTGTGTGGAGGGAATCCCCGCTGCGTTCATACAGAGCGGCCACGTGTTCTTCAAAAACTGTCAGATGTGCTCTACAAAACCACAAGTAGCCAACGACTAGTCTTTGATGGTTCTTGTTTAAGCCGGGTGTCGATCTATGTCTGTGTGTAGCTACTTTTCTGGTTCGGGAAATAATCATTCGAAATTGAATAAGGAGGAACAAATATCCACAGACACGATGAATGCACAAACCACTGAATACTGCGTTTCGAACTGCAGCGAATCTAGCTGGAAGCCCCCACCCCCTTCCTAGGCCAATTCGCAAACCACATTTTGAGATCACTCACAAGCGACGCGTGATCAGGTTCTATCTCCTCCCGGACACAAAGTGTCTAGAACCAAGAAGGTTGTAATGCAAACTGAATTGGAACAAAACCGGCAGACATGCATACATATTCTGGTGGACTAAGTTCAGTGGATCAAACGGGTAGCATATTGGCGAACGTCGTCCAGCCACACAAAAGGAGTGGGGCATAAAAATCGAAGGAAAAATTCACCAAGACGACAATACAAGGCAGATTGTGAGTGAGCGGGGATAATAAGAAATCTAGCGTTTTGTTTATCCCAGCGAACGTCGACCTCGTCGTGACCTGAGCATATATTTGATTGGTATGTCTTGACATGTTGATGGGGCGAGGGGTGCTTGAGGCGAGCGTTCACCACAGTTCGAAAGAGATTCTAGCTTAGCTCAATACACCCGAGACATTGGAAGACATGTTTGTAGTGGAAGGGTGACTGGTGATTCCGAGTGGGACTTCATATCGTCGATAAATGGAAGTCACATAAGACATGACAGCGTTCCAATCCGGACGTTCCGTGGCCAGCATGTCCTGTAAGTGTAGGGTTGTCTGTATACCGTCTCTTTCAGCAGCTCGGAAAGCGACCTGCAGTGAAAAGCATTCAAATGAGTTTATGTAAACTCTCTCTCCAATTCCTAAAAGTAGAAATATGCTCCTAATACACTTGTACCAGCTGTCTATCCATTACGGGCGAAATCCTTCGCCTTGGGCAGTTATCGAAGGAAAGATTTCATGACATTAAGCAGAGCAAGTGTAGTGGAACGCAAAAGAATTGACAGGGAACACAGGTACCTCACTGTACAACAAAGCGGCACCCATTACAATACCGTCCGGTTCAGGTAGACTTATGATTCTCAGCAAGCCTCTTTGAGCTTGTTTAAATAGGGTTCACAGGATCACAGAACATCTGGCACTATGCAGACCGCCCGTGTTACCACGGATAGAAACTGGTCCAACCGCCATCCATGTTGGATGCCAAGTTGAAAATCAGCTGTGGGAAATAGCGTCGCTTTAATTGCATTTCATCGAGTGTATGCATATGGCGGCAGAAAAATGGTAGTCTAAACCAGCACAGACAGGCCATCGTAATCTTGTCTTCAGTCCCAAATGGATGATACAGATGTTAGAAGACCGGTGCGATAGAAAGCCGACACAGAAGAGTCATTCATAGCTTCAGACTAAACTTATGCCATGGGCGTCGGTCAGACGCCACACACGACATATCACATTTGCTGGTAATGCAGCTACCGCACCCCACATACTGTGGTGAACATGAGTGGGGCATCGATGGACAAAAATCTGGCTTTATGGTCTGTATCATGGTTACATAATTCCTCACGTTTGACGCTACACTGTTTATGGACTCGGGAAAATCGTCACCTTAGTCGCCTTAGGGAAGTGATTGTGTACAATCATATAGTCGTATTGAGGAGAGGGACGCGTTAAACATTAAACACAGGAATAGGGGGGTAACTGCATACAATAGGTCATTCGGTAGTTCGTTCGGGCCCCAGATGGCTGAAAGGAAGGTCCGCGGTTCGAATCCAACCTCTACATCTCTACTGGTCCTGTCTAGGCTTGGGAAACCTGAAAGTTTCTCAGCCCTCGTGCTTCCTTTGGGTGGTATGGCGGCTAGGCACGGTAAGGGCATTACAGCTTAACGATTCGGTTCCCGTTCAGTTATATCCATGTAGAGTTTGATGTGTCTACCTTGAAATAAGGCCAATTTGGAGCAAAAACACCTATGGACAAAATGATCCAGCAAACACCCATTTACCAAGACCTGTGAAACCGGTAAAGTACCCCAACTGACAAGTCAAGTTGGCGTTAACAGGGGACTCAATCCTAGCTGGTTTGTGAGAACGGTCGTGAACGGTCAACAACTCTTCCGAAAATCCTGTACCAGAAAAGAAGTGCATCGGAGGAAATGACAAGCTGTAAATATGTAGGGCTAGCGATGCATGTGGTGCTTCAGTGAGGTTGGAGTCACTCAGAATTACCGTCCATATTACGTGCATTGTCAAACCTGCAAACGCTGTGTGTGTTGGTTGCCACATTTCAGCATACCACTCTGACACGTGCACCAAATCAGAAGAGTGGACTGAAAAATTCTTGTTGCAGACGTCAGATAACGTGAAATTTTCACACCAGGCTTCTAGACGGAGGGGACTTCAAAGATCTGAAGACGGTACGATGACAGATGGAAGAGTCCTAAAAGCGACGAGCTCACACGCAATCGTGGAACCCTTTGGACTTGTTGGACATATCTGGAGATCCAAATGCCAGAGACACATACCTAGAAGAATGTCACATAGTATGTGCATCCAATCTGAGGAATTCCAAGTTCCACTCGTGCAGCTGCCTCACCTGCAGTGAATTAGATGGGTACTGTTCGCAGTGACCATGTACAAATAATGCATTTTCTATGGGGGAAAATGTTGGTAGCTCAGGTAGGGTAGGTGGTCGTTGGATTGTTCGCCAAGCTGGGCAATTTGATTGCAAACGTTTCATCACCGATCGAGGTGACATCATCGGTGCATTAGCGGGCTAGTGGTTGGCACAACCACTAATTACACATGACCGATGAGCGTTTATCATCAATTATGTGCACGAAGGTATTATTCACGCCTTTCTTCCACAGATTAGGCGGGTTAGTGGTTGGCACAACCACTACTTACACAGTTCACATCGAGCGATGAGCGATTATCATCAATTATGTGCATGACGATATTATTCACGCCTTTCTTCCACAGATTAGCTGAGAGTAACGTACAAGGGTTGTTGTTTCTGAACTTTGGATTCACGTGACCTGTTCTAAAACAATGCAGGAAGTTCGCTCCCACCATCCTGATCCAATCTCCAACCTGTTTTCTTTGAGTGATCCGTTGGGTGTCCCAAACTGAGGTTACGCCAACCTGACTCTGAATCTTATGTTTATTCACTCACAATAATGTTAACGCTACTCACAATGCTATTACATTTTGCGCCATGATTGCGCCCTGTCCCAATTGTCGTATCATCTCACGCGTCCTTCTCTGGTCTAATAGAAAACAGCATGTAAGTGTTCGGTTGAATACTGGGGGCGAAATGGCTCAGCGGTTCGAGCGCTGACCGGAAGGTCCGTGGTTCGAACCCTCTGCCTCTCGATCTCCCCTTCCAAGCTTGGGCAAGCTGGCAGTATCCCAGCCCACGTGTTTCCTTCTGGTGGCACGGCACTTAGGAATCGAAAGGGTGCTACAGCTGAGCGATGTTTTGGTTAAACACTCTGGACTAACGAAGGATTCTTCAGTTGACTCCACCATACTCCGGGATTCTGATATAAATGAGTAGATTGCCATAAAAATTTGAAATAAGGACAAGTCAAGCTAGGGAAAACTGGTTGGACCCAGGCATGTCATTGTTAACCTCCTACCTACATTGAGTTCAGGATGCAGCTCTGATTGATCGGCATTCTCCACACTCAACTTTGATCGCTAAGAGGTATAGTCTCGTTCCTATGAGAAGCAGTTATGAATTGGTTGACACGATTCAGTTGGCCCAAACATCGTGTGCAACAAGCGCTCCCGAGTTGCAACTGTGCTGAATTAAACCTTGTCGATTATACCTTGATCGGGCGTTCGAAATTCACAGCAAATTCGCGCGGAAATGTGCGACTCGACCGAGTATCCAGTTCTTCAAATGCTCATTTGTGGGATACTTTCTGTGTACGGCAGCAGAGGTCGGGTTAATAGTAGAGCTATCTTTAGCCGAATATGTGACGAAAAAAGCTGTTCAGTTGTGGACATTCAAGATACCGACCACGGATCACTAACGGCTGAATCTCCCGCTTACGATATATTTCAGCCAGGGTTTAATTGAGTCTCCAGCTAAAACCTAATTAGTGTGCAAACAAACCTAGTCCAACTTGAGTTCGAGTAAAACGGAAACTGTGCCTAACTAATAAGTCCCGAAAAGGGCGTAACCCCGTGGTGGGTTGTCGGAGAGTTTTCAGAAGCCTCATGAGTAGTGTTCCATCAAAAAAATATTCTGCGCTATCTCGAATATCGCAGCAATCTAAAAATTGGGCCGCTTTGGGGTCACTCGCTTGAAAAACATCACAAACGAGAGGTTCAACCAGGATTGAGTTGAGTATCCCGTTAAAACCAAATTAGTGTGTATCAGAAAGAGGGATCTTTACATATGCGTCTCCTTTGACTAGTCCTTCACCTGCCCCGCCGCAATAACTCGGTTAGTCAACACCAAACAGGGAGACCACTGGACTTGATTCACGCTATTATGAACAATGTGCATGCTCGGTCGCACGAGGATTTGAACTCCCGAGCGAAGCCAGCGCATGCTGGGAGCACGGGTGGTAGTGCTGGAATATTGGTAGCTCGGGTGCATTAGTTGGTAATTGATCAGGTTGCTGCTGATCTGTTCGCCGAGCTCGGCAATTGATTTGCAAACGTTTTGTCACCATTCGAGACCAACAGCGCACTGAAGATGTCTCGTCGAATGGTGACGAAACATTTGCAAATCAATTGTCAAACTCGGTGGACAGATCAACAGCCACCTGATCAATTGCCAACTGGACGCATGGTCTCGATCGGCGAACGCGTACAGACTCGAGTAACACGATTTTCATTCACAAATAAGTGAATCCATGTGCCGCGACAAAGAAAGGGGACCCATATTACTTGGATGCTAAAACATCAATCCTGTGTTTACATAAGATCTGTGTACAGTGATGATGATGAGACTGAAACAAGGCCAACTGAATCAGGCTAGTAGATTCCCTACTTACTTCAAAACATCGTTTCTTATCGACGGGCAAACCGTTGGGGGTAACCAGTTCGTTCCACGGAATCTCAGAAGGAATGTATGTGTGTAACAAAGCACACAGAGCCAATCCATTGTTCCATGAACTCGAGAAATTGGTCACTTCCACGCCACGATATCCCGAAACTCGAGATTGACACCACAGTAGGAGCGCGTTCCGTTTTGATCCAGCTTGGGTGCGCCTGGCAAGCTCCTGTAGCGGGTCCTGACACAGGTGGTGCACAGTCGAGAATGCAGAAGACCCTCCCGAGGACGACGGCTCGGAGGAGGCCATGGAAGAATCTACTGCTGTTTTCGGTATGGAGCCATGTGCGTCCAGGGAATCACAGGTAGATTTTTTTGTGGCAGTGGGCTCGGTCGAATAACGACGAGGGTTGGTGAAATTCGGAGGTGACAGGGAACGTTCGAGGGACGGGTGTTTAGACCCAGCGCACGACTGTTGTGATGTCTGGCCAGTGTTTTGACTGGCAAGCTCCAGGCCGCCATGGAAAGACACAGTGCCTCGAGGTGGGGAAAACGTCTGGTTTGTAATCGAGTCCTTTTCAGTGGCACTTAAATGACGAAAAGGGAACAGGGAAATGTCAAAACTAAGAAAGAGAACAGGCTGACTCAGACCGGAGAAACTTATGAGGTAATTGTATGCACCACCGATTGGTCGGATAACAGAACGAAAGAAAAATGAGTGACAAATACTTTACCCCCGAATCCCAGTGCGCATTTGAAATAAAAGAGAGTCCGAACTGACCAGCCTGAGGCACAGTGTAGACCGTCGACAGAAAGCCACGGGTAGCATAGAAAATGCCTTGTACAGTCCATCTAATCTGGCCAGAGGGATGGCACGAATTTCGCCTAAGATATGGAGGAGACGCTAGGGCCAATCGATTAGAAAAACTCACTCAAAAAAGGTGAGACACCACCGACATGGCATGACGAACCACACGGGCAGAATCGAACAAGAGTGTAGAATGGACAACTTTTACTTACCAAGACCAATAAGATCAACACCTCAAATCGCAAGATATAGAACCACATTAGTCTGACAAAGCTTTATCACACCATCATTTCAGCGAAGAGGAAAGAGAAACGAAGTCGAAGTCGAGAATTCGAAAGTGTACAGCAATGTTTGGATAGACCCGACAGCACAATGTTTTATTGGGCTACGGTATGGATTAACGATATCACCATTTCTGTCACTCGAGCGGTTTTCCATTGTGCTACCGATATGGCTCAGTGGCTAAGGCGCGGACCTTCTGAGTGGAAGGTTATTCGAGCCCAGCACCTCGACTACTTCTGTCTACGTTTGGGTGACCTGGCAATATATCAGCCTTCGTACTTCCACCGGGTGGGATCGCACCCATGCGCCGGAAGGGTGTTACATACTCACCCTCTCCAAATGTTTGCCATTCGTCCCCGAAATCGGGTTCGTCACATCGTACTGATCGCATTATCGAGGGCAGTGCACAGTAGAAATAAAACGCGTTATTAATGGCCTGAATCTGAAACAACGACTTTGTGGTAGTTCTGATCAATGGATACACTTATTGACAAACGCCTCTCCGAACAATTGCGACCGATAAAAGATGAACTGTGTAGGGTTCCCAGACGGCATCCGATCCAATATCTGGATCATCAGAACCAGCGCCACCATTACTGGTTGGCAGCTGGGGCCTCAACTGTCCAGTGCACAGGTGATGGATGTCAGTCATGTGGCCGATTCACATCTGGACGATGGTCGCCATTCGCCACACGGGCCCAACATTCACGTTAAACAAACAAGTGATCATTTATTAACCAGCATCAACTAGCATCAGAATCACAAACCAGTCACAATATATCGGAGATGGGACATGCCTATTTGTACACGACACACCGAGTTGTGTGCTTTTTTAGCCAAATGTTTCTGTAATTAATTTAACTTCTGTTCGTATTCCCTTGACAGATGGCCGAAGAAGCACGAGGAAAGGGATGAAATTCGCAATGTAGATTACTGGACCCCAGGGAGGCACCCGGTAGGAAATAATAATCACTTCCCATTATGACTGATCTCACGAGTAGCCCAAAAAACACTCTGATCGACAGTGAATCCATTCACTTATGATGAGGAAACTTAAAAGTTTCATACAGCGCTCGAGCATTCTGGTTCGATTTTCAGTAATACGAACTCCACATTTCTGCCGGCCCACATTCAGTCGGTAGGCAGTATGAAACAGGTACTGATTAGACTGAACTCTCATCACTACATCCAAAAAAATTATCAATCTGGTTCATATTTCAACCTCTATTACAGTGTACAGTTCGGAACGACAGCCGGGAGGGGGGGGGGACGAGATGGCTCAGTGGTTGGTTAGACCGCGAATTTACTGACTGGAAGGTCCGTGGTTCGAACCCGACCTGGGCTTGGGCAACCTGGCAGTATCCCAGCTCTCGTGCTTATTCCAGGTGCCATGGCAGTTAGGCACCGAAAGGGTGCTACAGCTGAACGATAAGATTTGAACGACAACCAGCACTTTGTGGTGGGGAGAGAACAGCCAAATGGTAGTGGAATGCTCATACGCGTATAAACGTGGAAGGCGGACATATTCTGCCGATTATCATTAGCTGATGTTTCCCGCGAACAAAAACTGCTGCAGAAATCTGTAAATCGTCATAAAGACAGTTTGGCGGAACGAAATTCGGGCTAGTAGCAATGGAGTTCATCCACTGGTCACCCAAGTTTAGGTTCTCATCATGCATGGTGTCCACAGCACACACAAGGATGTGATAACCTGCGAACCAGAACGCTTTTTATTCCAACTTTCTAGGGACGTCGGTGACTCGCTAGTCTAATCGTGTGACTGTAGGTCGTTTTCTATGGACTTGATGCATGCCGGACGATTCGCTAACTACGTACCCAGGCATTCTCGAACTAGAACGCTTTTTATCCCAACTTTCTCGGGGCGTCGGTGACTCGCTAGTTTAATTGGATGTTATCACGTGCTGTGAGGGTAGGTCACTTTCTTTCCATCTCACGCATGCCGAACGATTCGCTAACTACGTACCCAGGCATTCAACACGTCACCGTTCGAAGCTACAATGTTCGATACCTCATAAATATGGTAGTCTCTGCACCCCAGCACTGGTCATTGTACTTCCGACCACTAACAAACCGTCAAACCGAAAGAGAGTACAAGAAATATGAGCAAAACGTATAAGCTGAGTTTGCATCCAAACAAAACATGCAATCCGAAAACCAGATATCATGTGATCATCACATGCCTGATTAATGAAGCCGGCTAATCACACCGAGTGAGTACAAATACCAGGTCAAAAACTTTCCTGCTTTAAGCGGATAACGGCTCGAGTGATGGTGTTTGATTGAAGATAGTCAGCAGTCAAACTCAGTACCACTTGAAGGACAACAGCTGTCAACAGATGGTCACCACCACAAAGACACCCTCAAATCCGACGCACATATGAGCACACAGTCCACGAGTTGGTGCTCTTTCTCGAAGAAACTTTGTCCACAAGTAGCAATCGATCATCTTCGCCACGTGGAACGACATCAATGGTAACTAGGAGTATGATATTGCTGTCACTGCGCCTTACTGTAAGCAATCAAGTCGCACACACAAAAGTTGAACGCGGAATTTGGCATGTAATAAACTGGTGATTGTGCGCACAACAGATTAGTGACAAAGATCATACAGGCTGCGAGGTGTCCGCGGTTTGTTATCAAGGACTGTGGGAAAATAGATAAGCTCCCGAAATGATTTGAAGCGATTGCTTTAAAAGGCAAACCAGTCTCTGTCAACTAAGCTATCTTGGCATAATTAAACACTTGGAATTAAGGCGTGATTCACCAAACTTCCACTTGACGGATCAACTATTTGCTCGTCCCACTCCGTTGACAAGGATATCTACTTTTTCCGTTTTCGTTCAACTTTGTAGGTGATAAAATGATGAGGCTGACGGAGAAAGCTCCTCAAAATCCGCTGTTCCAATTGTTGCTCGTAAGAGCGTTGTCGATCTGGAGAACGCATCGCCCTCATCTTTGAAGACCAAAGCGAAGCATGAGCTCTGTTGGGTAGACTGATCGTACCATCTTTCGGCATGCGCTTTGCATCTTCAAAGTGTGAATTCATACTTCAAAACGTGCAACCTCTGAGTATACACCTTACAAATCAAGAAGAATCGCGGAGGTTGTGGAGTTTTACTTACCTCAGAAGTAGTACTAGTTTCTGGCGGAACTGTACCTGATGAAAGCGTTCAGCTGTAGCACCCTTCCTGTGTCTAGTTGCCATGCCACCCGAAGGAAGCACGAGGGCTGGGATACTGCCAGGATGCCCAAGCCCAGACAGGGGAAGTCGAGTGGCGGAGGTCGGTCAGTAAATTCGCGCTCTAACCACTTGGGCCATCTCGCCCCCCTGATGAAGTGAATGCAAGAATCTCGAAGGACTGAATAACGTTTGCTAATTCGCTTCAATTGTGGTGTCAGAAACGCACATCACAGGGTGTACCAGGCTACACTAAATGCTGGACTGCTGTATGGTTGGGAGACACGGCGTCTGCAGACAGACGATGTGAGGCGACTTCAGGTTTTTGACAAACGATGCCTCAGAAGTGCTGCTGATGCCGGGTGGCATAAACGAATTCGTGACAAGATAATTAGAAAACAGGTATTTGGCCGCGCAGCATTCGCAAAAAATCCAACACCATCAACGATGGTGGCTCGGCAATGTGCTACGAATGCCGAAACACCGTCTACTGAGACAAGTGGTGGACAACATATGACTTGGTAAAAGGGCGTGAAAGAGATTACGAGGAGTTTTGGTGTTGTATCCAGGATGGGACCCTCGTGACCCATCCTGCGCTTGGCTAGAGACACTTTGAGAAATGGCGACTAATCGGTCAGTGGGGTTTGTGCAGCCAGTTTCGTTGCAGACTGTCTGATTGAGCGTTTGAAGGTGTAGGCACCTCAGAATGCTTGATATAGACCAGTACTAGGTCCCCTCCCTCCCTCCCTCTTTTTCTCTTCTTTTCACTCTAGGGCTGTAAATATAATAAGACGAACCCTATGGTTGTACGGAGTGACTCGAGACTTTCTGAAATGTTTGCGCAACAATTTACACGCTATGTTTTGACAGGACACACGGTTTGGCGAGCTTTGTCTGGAGAATGTCTTTATGGAAAGGAGTCTAAATGTAGATTAACAAAAGAATTGAGTGGTTGGAAGCTTGTGTTCATTGTGTGACGATTTTACGATTGAGGGGCCTTATAGAGAGGATGAGTGTACCTAAACCGGCCAAACAGACAACAAGTACCACATGCCCAGTGACAATCGCCAGCCTACCCAAAACGAGCGAAACTGCTTCTCGTCAGATAAGACGACTAGTACGGAAGCCATGTTAGATTACCTCTATCCGGAAGAAGAAGAAGACCCGCCTAACGCACGCTGCGACCGGTGAAGCAGCTTCTGAAACTTTCTCGTGAGTCAAACGTTCCAAACAACTGCCTCGCTGCATGTCCCCGCGTACGTCTCTAACTTTACAGCGCGATGCAGAACCACCGGTTGGTTGAATACGCCCAGATAGACTTCTTCCGTTGGTCCACTTTTTCTTCTAACCGATCTTCTATCCAAAATATTTCCATACAAGAGGAGCAACTCTATTCCGCTACATTTTCACGAGAGAAGTGACAATCATTACGTCATACGGTTGATCGACACATGCTTTTACTCAGGCAAAAGCCACTTCGAAAGAAGAATTACGATGCGCCCCGTTGTGGAGTAAAGCTACATTTGGTATCAACGAAAATTCGCACACCGCATAGACTTTCAAACACGATCCCACGAGTCGAGAAACACTAAAATATGGTGGACTCCAAGGGCATCTTAACAGAGATTATCATGGTATTGAGATTCTACAATGCGGCTACAAACGTGCGGGTGTGTGTATGGTGGGCCCACAACCTTATATTTGATATCTGGGATTCGATAGCACTGTACTAACAGTTTGACTGCGTCATAAACTGGACCATACTGACGTGCTGTCAGTGGAGTGGAATGGAACCCGCTAAGCTGGATTTTCTATTTGCGGATGACATCGATGTTTTCGTGGTAAATCACTACGGTCGTCTCCTCAAAGGAATTCGACAGTACACTTCCACTGTCGAATCCAATACCAAGAGCTTTTGCCCTTCTGCATCTTGCCTTTGAAGCTGCAATAACCGCGTACTCGACGTACAGAGGTTGTAGCTGCCGCAGTTTCGTTCACCGATGATTTGGGGGGAAGTAGGTAGCTGCGCGTTACAGGCGGGAGCTGATAAAATGATGCATAAATCCGGCACTGTCAGTAGGGGGATTGGGAAGGGAGCTATGCATTGAAGGATGCACGAGCGCCATTGAGGGCGCGACTGGACCATATCTGACAATGTCTCTAACCAGTGATGTGGACTGTCTCGGAGTCCCCATCCAGGAAGACGGCAATGACCAGCGCAGCTAAGTTGGCTGGTAATGGCTTTCACACTTCGCTGCCAAGTCACTGTTTGACCGCCTCTGACTCTCTTCCATCCTTCCTAAGGTTGTGCGAAAAGAGCCCATCGAGGTCGACTGGCATACGCAGCACGTGACCCAGCAAGCGCAACCGTTTGATCAGTTCATCTATCGATGGAGAGTTATTTCTCCCGAATACCATTCGAAGTACTTCACCATGGCTGATCCGGTGTTCCCACCGGATTCGGGCAATGCTCCGAAGACATCGATGGTCAAACACTGAAAGTCTTTTAACGTCCCCAGCGCGCAGCGGCCAGGTTTCTGATCCGTATAATAATATGGAGCGCACCGCAGCATTGTAAACTCGACCCTTGACAGAGGTCTTTGAAGCAATAGAGAAGATGTACGAAGTGTCGCTGGTCCTCACCATCATAGACGACAGCATCAGCGCTGACATTGGTGTGTATGTGCAGCTTTAAGTACAGTGGGCCAGCCTTCACTCCAAAAAAAACGGCAAAACCCTTTGGGTCGATCGTTTATCTGCTTGCCGGTAGGACTGAGAATCCTCAAAAGGATTTTCCCTGGTTAGCAAAATAAGTAAATATCGTCCACAAAAGCGCATGAAAGCGAGTCATTCGGAACCTCCTATTGTACACTCCATAAAATCGAATTCCGTGATCCTCCGCAATGCCAACTAACACCAATCTTCGGGAGATTATGGCTAACAAAGGACACATTGAATATAGGCTTAAATGAATTATAAGTAGGCTTTTGTGCTGCAAACTCGATTGAACAACAGTACAGGCAAGTCTCCACTGAAGCCCCACTAGTCAGGATCTGGTTGGTCCGCGTGTGCATCTGAGAAACAAGGCGGGCAATTTACCACCAACTGAAGCAACAACCACAAGGTCAGCATTCACCCGACCGGTGTTATTAGGGATGGACTTATCACAAACGACGCACTGAACAAGGCATGCATTTTCATCAACCAAACCAGTCACAGGGTGGCTTTTGTAGGTTAACAGGCAAGGTCGAACCCAAATAATACCAGCGCTTCACAAGTTTACAAGATACTCGTCGAAAAACCATTCTAATTCGACCAATCGTTGTCTGTAAGAGCCGGGGAAGCATATGACTGTAAATGCACTTTAGCGCATTTCATTTATTTCGCGTATCCATATTAGTAGTATGGGAGAGTTCCCGAAAGTCCTTAGACAACCCTCCCCCAGTTTTATCCTGTTCAAGGCTGATCACGTAGACGTAGTCCTCGGAAATCGGGATAAAAAATCTGGCATAAATAGCAGTTGAGTTATAGTTGGCTCACATAACCACCTAAACTGTTGGAAGCGGGGGTTCGATGGAGTCCCTGGTATGGAGAGCTCCAGACAGTCTGTTTGCCGCACACCAAGCGGACGAATATCAACAGGGCAGCTTATGGTGCCTCTAGTTCCGGCAACTTCAATTCGCATACATGCTCAAAAATGAGCAGCAACATAACCGCTTTTGAAAGTCAACTTGTATGACTGCACCGGCTGGTTCATAACCGTAGCGGTGCTTGTGTGCGTGCATGTGATCCAAGCTAGTTTGATTTGTCCGCAGATCAAATGACACTCGTCCCGAAGAATGGTACGCAGCTGATTGATCTGTCATGTGCTCGTGACAACACCAGTGACAATGAGAGTGAAACGCAATAGTGAAGAACATGTGTTCCGCACGAGTGTTGCTATGGTTGATGACTGGATAAAAAGGTAACAAATTCAAGCTATTCTGAAACGGTAACTTCTCAATCGGTTCCAAACCTTTTCCAATTGATACATAAATTCATCCGAGTATTTGGCAAGGAAAGAGCAGCCTTCCCTCTAAGACAACGAATTCCTGGAGGCAATCACCTTCGGGAGGATGTAATCACCTAACTAACTGGTCGTTTCCGAAAGTAGACTTTCTGAATCTACCAACAGAAAACGTTGGGTCGATGCGGTGAAACGTAAAGGACGGTTGAGTTCAAGCACCATGGATAAATACATACTTATAGGTGTTTTTATCCAAAATCGGGGGAGCTCCTGGATCGGAAATTTGGGATTTAACTGCGTGAATTCTTCTTGGGTTGGATGAGACATTCTCGGGTGTCAGCGAGAATTTGGACTTTGCAGTTTCATGAAGCACCGGTGGGACGGATCCCGGTCCCCCAGGAGCACTGGAATTCTCCTCGTCTGTCGGAAACTGAGATAGTGTGATTGGGGACCCTAGGAGGCTGGCAGAATGGATCTTTGAGGATTTTGTCGTGGACCCGCCATTGGACGATGTCATTAGACCATTAGTCCCGTTCGATCGAACGTCACCCGAAGGGGTTGGATTTGACTGGACACGTGTCAATAAACGTTTGGGTGGGCTGGGTGAGCTGGAAGTCAGCGACTTCTGAGTGTTGGAGGTCAGGCCACGTTTCTGCTGCTGTACAGCTTTGACCTACATGTGGTAGATAAAAGCAGATGTAAACCGGGAGTTACACGAAGAGACAACTGACGTTCCAGCACTTACGCAAAATATACCAGTCTTTTCAAATCAACAAAAGGCTTTGCAAGACAACAAGTTCAACAGAATCAGTGCGCACGGTCTCTCTGACCAAAACCAACGGACGGCAAATGGCGCTACCAGTCATTTAATGTGCCGAACTCGATCAACAAAAACACTTGCCTGTGGGGCTTGAATTTTGCACCAACCAACATAGGTGCGAAAACAGTTCGAGATGTTTGGAAAACACATTTCGGTTACATGCTATGTCCAACAGGGTTTCAACTATTCAGGAAGGTGTGAAGACGAATTCAAGTTATGAAGGCAGTTACCATCTACTATGGTACGAAAACATTGGTAATCAAATAGCTGAATGCATCTGAAATCTTCAGATCAAACAGGCCGGGATTCACTGGCATAAGGTCGAGCTGCTCTCGGGGTAGTTTTGTACACAAGTCCCTTTGGCCTTATCGAAGTTCCTGGCGGACGTCAATGATGACACAAACTGGCGAACATCGCTCGCACCCCCATGACTTCACCAGCCACATTGCAGATGCCAAGAACAGTAAACCTGTGGATAAATTTGAGCACCTCATTGGGAAGTTTCAAAAGGTACTCTGAAGTGGGACTTTGCACTTTGGAATCGTAAAGTGTCTACCGAAACTACGTACCGCTTCTGATGATCTATTTATATCAGCTGGTGCGGACATAGTGATCGCGAAATAAGAGAACAATTTCCCAGCCTATCGATATTCCTACAGATTTGATTTCGATGCCCAGTGCACTCCATGATAATACTGACGTCAAAATCAAACAGGAGGGGGGAGAAGACACAACCCTGGTGGACCTCACTAGTTGTGACGAAACTGTTTGACAGTTAAGTGCACACAGTAACGCTACCAGAGGTATTGAAATAAAGGAACACAAGATTTTTCCAAACCTCAATGGCACTCTTTGTTGACCAAATATAGGTCGGGGAGCCGATCTGTACACCCAGTCGAAGGTCTGTTCGAAGCTAGGGAAAAATGCCGAGGTGGTGTACGTGAGACCGTTGACACACTGCGCAAGGTAACGATGTAGTCAATGCATCCTCCACTTGACCGAAACTCCACCAAATCTCCTCGAACTTGCACCTCACGTGATGAGGTCAGATGTCGCATTTTTAGTAGTTGCCGCATTACAACTGGAGTAAGGCCTATATCCCTGTGGTTTCTACAATCGCTTGGGATATCTTTTTGGGCATAAGTTCAATGGCTGATTGGCTTCACTTTTGTCCGGAGCATTTTAGTTTTCCGAAGAGTTTAAACAATGAAGTCGGAACAAACCACAGATCCGCCGCCATCATTAAATAATGCTCATCTAGCAGTGTTGTTCAACCCAGACTCGTCAATTTAGCTCACCGGAATTAACGAACCCTATCAAGCAATCTCGTACACTTAACTTAATATCCTTCAACTCAATTTACTGCAGAAAAACGATCAGCTAATTAGGTCACCAACTAACGAGGATACCGCGTCGTTCCGAGCAACAGCGTCGATTCAAATTCATGGTCGGTAAAGAACGAATTGACACCACTGGTAAGAACGAAGCAGATTAACGTGAACTACTTAAAACAGCTGAATCAAAAGAGATGGAATGCACATCGAAACATTTATTACCGAATGGTTCTGTACTGCAAACCTAAAACTCAAACTTTCGGTGCCACTTACATCTCACATTAATCATGTCTCGATTCCCCTATCACCATCCAGCTCATTGGTTAGTCAAAGCAATCGAGTCTGCCTTCAGTCTCAAGATACCTTCGAAGTTGTAAATCTGTTGCTGTGTTTGAACATCCAAAACAAGACTTTATCAGAAAACTGAACTGAATACCAGGCTGAAACTCTCGTTGATGAAATTCCTCAATCGAATGTGCTGCCTCATGTTCCAGTTGGTGATGACTTCCTATAACGCTGAGTAGCAACGTGTACCTAATATTCCTACGAATACAGTCAGTACAATTACTATTGTTATTACTATTAGTTAACTTGCCGCGGAAAGTAGTATCTTCCTGGGACTCTCGTTAAATGAGGCATTTGTACTTCTAAGGGACTGTATGCAAAAACGTATGGTTTTTCGTGGGACTCGCTGACGACGAGTAGAAGGTGAGGCCATTGGAAGGATCAATATAAGCAAATATATTCGTGAGCCATGTCGGAAGCAAACTACCGATAAACATACGGGAGCAGAAGGTACCCACCCAACTGCGCACTGATGATGTCTCCTCTTATGGTGACGAAACCTTTGCAAGTCAGTAGCCAAGCTCGGCGAACAGATCAACAGCCATCTGATCAACAACCAATAAAGGAGCTAGTTTCCTAAGTAATCCCTACGTATTCAGACCGAAAGCAAGTGTAGGGAATCCATAAATTAATTAGCAATGTTCACAGAACCCAATTTTACGGTCGTGGTATCCAGTTGCACGACTTCAGTCGAAGCGGAGGATCGGATGACACACTATCCATAAGTGTAGCAAAAACAGAAACTTGTACAGGCTGCACCAAACTGCAATGGATTAGAAGCGCGTGAAGCATGGCTACCGACAGATCCCACCTCAGAACGGTACCTGTAATATGTTATGAAGCCTTACAGACCAAAAAAGAAGCGCGAGTTGGTTTCAAGCTCCGCACTGAGGCCGATTTATTCCAGTCCACCTTTCGAAGGTGACGACGTCCCACGCTTTATCAACAGTCGACTATATGCGGTGGATGAGGGACTATAAAGCGAGATGGCCCAAGTGGTTAGAGCGCGAATTTACTGACCGGAAGGTCCGTGGTTCGAATCCGACCTCCGCCACTCGCATTCCCCTGTCTAGGCTTGGGCAACCTGGCAGTATCCCAGCCCTCGTGCTTCCTTCGGGTGGCATGGCAGCTAGGCACGGGAAGGGTGCTACAGCTGAACGCTTTTTCTTCATATAGCGCTGTCCGTCTGGTGCCTGGTACAGGAAGTGTTCAAGTTCAAAGAATGATCGAGGGACCATATCCGACAAGCTGGAGAAGTAATGAGGGTTAAACGGAAGCGACAACCGTGCAATCCTCTTGAGGAGGCCCCAGACAAGTAAACAAGCTTAAAAACATCATAAACGAGAGATTCATCTGGATTCCAGGTGAGTTCCTTGCAAAACCGAAATTGTTTACAAATGAGTGTAGTTCGCTAATTTCATGCAAGTTAGCTTCAAGTTTGACGGAACCTCGAGGACTGCGCCTACCTGATGATGGTCGTGAGCTGTCGAAGAATTTTTAGCAACTTTCGGCCCGTGGCTGAACGGTTAAGCGTTCAAACTACTAGCCAGGAGGTCGAGGGTTTGAGACTCTCCGGAGTTTCGTGAGATGTGCACTGCTCATGATTCCCAATAGGGATGAAACAGCTGTACAGGGCTTATCAGCTTTCAGCATAGACTGGATTCACATTCCTACAGGAGGAAATCTCCATAAAAAGTAGTATATTACGTCTAAACAACAAAGCAATTTAGTTAGTAAGTTAATAGGTAGGTAGGTAGTTCGAAGGTTAGTCACATTCTTCAGGATAAACACAGCTATCTGACCACGGGAACCTGATACAGCGGAGCAAACATCCGGATTCCGCAGAGCGCTTAAGACGCACTTATTTACCGGAATACTAAACAAAAACTCTGGTTATATTTCACTGTTACAGACGGAGCATAAAGGAGGTACGGTGACACCGGGGCCAAATACAATTGATAAGTGTGTGTGTGCGCGTGTGAAGAAATACGCTGCACCTCAGGCATGACAGTGCACAGTGTATTCTGACGTGTGCTTATATTTTCACTGCAGCTAAACTGACCAAAACTTGGTGTCATTAAGTATTCTGAATCTTTTCCTCACGAGAATTATCACTGTGATGCGTACCTCACTGGTAACATCCAGCGGACGAAAACCACCACGTGATGATAGTGAAAGCGAGGTGAGCGAGAAACACAGCTGTAAAGTGCACGACGTGACGATCGATCACATCGGAACTAGAAAGGAGTATAGTTTGTAGTTAAATGTCCACACATCTGCACTTTATCAAAGAACAGACGTAAACAACTGATACGAGTTTCTACGCGTGCAAGCCGTGTTACGCATCTTAGGATGATACAGAAGAGACGCATTCGTAAGAAGAATTTGCATAGGCTATTCAACCACACTGAAGCGCACGAATGTGGGCTGCACGTGGACTCGGGTCGATATGTCGCCACGTACTTCACTAAAGGCCAGACATAAAGCATACAGAAGTGTTTCAGTGGATCACTCCGATCCAGGTTGCCATCGCCTTTTCTATCGTACTACATGGTTGCGTTCTTTTATTTAGTGGAAAATTGCAGCGAATGCAAACCGATACAAATTAGCCTCCAGTGCTGAGCTCCACATTGGTTAGTCCCTCACACAATTGTAAAAAATCCCGACTAGTTGTGATGCTGAACTGGACAAGTGGGAATCGGACGCACTGGCGAAAGTAGCGTTACGGAGTTAGATTACATCTTCTCTCTAAGTGATCCTCTGGTCTGTGAGCAAGCAAACTTTCTTAGCGAGAAACACTCATTTGCATATCAATTTGGTTTTGACGGGAGACTCAACTGGAACCCAACTGAATCACTTGTTTATACTGTTTTTTAAGCAACCTCGTGAGTAGTGCATGACGTCTAAGCAAACTACCTCTCATTCGAAGTACAAAAACAATGAAGCCAGGAGTTGTTCATCACCCCCTCAGGTAGTGCTTCACTTAATTTCTTACCATGACTGATATTTACAGCGTGTTCTATACCGGAAACCGACCTCAAGTTCTAGACGGAACACAATAAACTTCAGCAATGTACTACTGGCTCCGTCCTTCCTCAGGTCCCTCAGGCAGAGTTCCCATCAAATATGAACGACGGATTCAGTTAAGCCACCAGTTAACACCAAAGTAATTTGCAACTGAGCGAAGTCTTCTTGTCTAAGCCATTTTATGCATCCGATGCTAACCAACTGGTGTCCGAAAAAGATGTTAAGTCGCGATCAATCAGCAAGGCGTCCGACAACTCAGCAGAGGCTTTGCTACACGGACTAGAATACATGATCATCTTCAGGTGAGAGTCACGGACGAATAGCACGTGACATCCTAAGCCCGATGTGATCAAAACATTTGATTTGAATGTTCAAGTCATGTGGGTATTAGCGCTTTCTGCCACACAGCAAGGACTGGAGAAGTACATCCGGGCACATAAATTCGTGAACGACAGTGCAGAGGAAACATGGTATGGATGCTACAATAAAAAAGTGTTCGTAAAGACTACTGCATAGTTCACTACCGGCTTCGATCTTTTGATCGATGCATCCTCGGCCAGAGCGAAGTCAACTTAATTCCAACGAATCTGTCTCTCCCGATGGTCGATCAACCATCAATCAATCAATGAACTCATCACCATGAGCACAATGGTTCCGGTTGATACAATTTCGAACACTGGGAAGTGGGAGAGTGAAGGACTCATCAGTCATATAAGTAGGATTAGATCACAGAAAATGTCCCAACATCTTTAGTTTCTTCTATGACGGACTTGGGGAATAATATTCACTTGAAGGATATAACGAACTAGAGATTCAGCCGAGCTTCCTCACACCTTAGTGTGCAAACTCGAAATATCGAGCGCCCTCCGTCCATTTACGAGTCAGTTGGTCAATCAACCAATCAATTAATCAATCAATCAGTGAGTGAACCTAGAACTGATTGAATGAATCAACGAATGAATGAGTACAGGTTAGAAGGTTTGTGTGCATAGCGCAGGGGAAAGTGGTCACGAAGGCAGGCAATGGGTTGCATAATGTGCAATTCAAAGGGCTTAAGTAGGTCAAGTTGATAAGCCACTCAGGGTATCGAAGTGGTAGTTCCCCCAAAGCGCGTAAGATCAGGACCTTTCTATACTGGGGATACAAGCGGAAGACGAGTTACCGAAAAAACGCGATGGGCGGTCGTTCAGTGGTAAATTTTTGCCGGCTACCAAGATAATATCCAAATGTTTGACAGGCTAGTTAAAATAACAATGTAATGATCATAGTCGCTTAGCTGTAACACCCTTCCAATGCCCAGCTGTCATGCCACTCAAAGGAATCACGAGAGTTAAGATACTGTCAGGTCTCCCAAGCCTAGACAGGGGAAGTCGAGATGCAGAGGTCGGGTTCGGACTACAGACCTTTCGGTCAGTAAATTCGCGCTCTAACCACCGAGTCATCTCACCCCCTTAGTTGATGAATAAAACGTCATAGCATGTTTCGGTGTGTTAAGCCCATGGAGGTGCCAGAAGTGGTTTATGTGTCAATTGGTTTCTGTTTCGGGTCTTCAAATGACTCGCCCTCACAACCTGGATGTTACTGAAGTGTTATTGGTTAGCTCAAACTACCTGTGCGTGTGTACCTTGAATGAGTCATATGGTCATGCAGACCACCCTTCACAAACACCGTGGGTTTCAAATGTTTAGCCGTTGCCATCATATTATGCACCAAAAGCTGGGAACAAAAATGTCCAATCCTGTTTACTCTCTGGGTTTACATTGGTCAAAGAGCATTTTGACGGTTGCACACACGTTCCGGAACAATATGCACTTGAGGTTTGAGGATGAGTCCATCGACATGGCTTGATGTGATAAGCAGATTAGGGGGATGAATGGTGCGCATTGTGAACCTCACTGAAAGATGTCAGAAATGTAAGCAACCCACCTGGTTTTCGATGCTCTGGATGAGGCTGCGCACTGTAGGCCCGGTGGTTGTCAAGCAGCTGGGTCTCATCGGTGCGCCGGGCGAACCCGTGTACGGCCGAAGGTGTGAAGCACGACTGAACGGGGCTGGTATGTGTGCAGATCCATAGGGAGCGTACGAGCTTGGCCGACCAGGGTAGGTAGCACTACTACCATCCGCAATCGTGGTTTGTTGTAGGGACTTCGCACTGCTTACGAAATCTCTCGTGGGCAAATGTAGCGATTGTTGCTGTTTTCGAGCGGGATCCTCAGCATCCTCTAGACGTCCCCCATTCGTCGTCACGTCTGTCCCCACACGGCTCCGGATGTCAATCGAGTGGATAGGCTCATCCTGGATCGAGTCTAGTTTGTCTTTTACCAAAGCCAATTCGTTCGAGAGACACGTTGCTTCACGGGACAGTTTGTCAACCTGAATATGATCACATTCCAGACAACGGAAATTTTATAATCCACCGGGAACCAAATAAAAACACAATGTCACTTAGATTACTTGACTTGAGGGGAGACGTAAGTTCCGTAAGTTCAAGTCACCAAGTTAGCCACTTCATACACCCCACAGACCAGTGGAATGAACAGTGGTGCTACTTTTCCTGTTCTGAGAAACGAAATGAAACGGTCAGAAATTTAAGCTTTATCCAGTGGTGCCCAGGAAATGTTTCTGTAACAGGTCTCTCAAGTACTTAACCGTTCTCTTACTACAATATATATACAGCCGTTTAGGAAACTGAAACAGGGAATGAAAAACCCGATTATGAAGTTGAAGCAGCGAGAGATTTGAGGGATCCACAGTTCCAGTCATGACAGCTCAAGTTCGAAAGGAGAATAGGTTGAGTGACTTCAAACGAGCGATCGGATATCACTCAAAACCTATCGCCATTAGGTAAGGGCGATTTATTGAAAGCCAAACCACCGTCAGGTATGGCATTCATTCTGTGCATGGATGCCAGGAAATTAGAATGGAGCGTTTTCAGTCAACGAAAACTGGTCAGGGACAATAAAGACATCGAAAATAGATTAGAAACACGGTTCTTCACGATGAAATCAAACAGCCTACCCTCTGAATTATTGGGAATCTGTTACAAAATTCATTACATTAAGTAACCTAGTTTCACAGGCAGTAGGAAGGAATGAGGTCATTCGGTCCGCTAGGCTGACAAGTAATATGACGGCTGTGTCAGGTCAGTCATCCCTTCATACGCGCCATCCCATAGAGACCACTCAGAGTTCCCATTCTCTCAAGCAGTCCATAGTGGCCTTCGTCGTTAGCCAAGACTACATAAAAGACATCTGCATGGACATCTTACTCTCACAGAGACCAACTACTCATTACTCGTAGCGGCTTCCCTCGGAAGTATTACCGTAAGGCGGTAGGGGTCGAGGTGTGAATATACCACCTTTCCAGACGCCAGCCCGCATTCCCAACTAAGAGTTGTTACGGTGCTACAGGCAAATTACGCTGTCCTCATCATTAAGACTTACTTGTCCTTTCAAAGCCGCATTTTCTTCCAAAAGCCGCAGCGCTTCAGCTTCAGATTCTGATTTGATTCCGTCCGCAATCTGTACTGTCTTCAGTAGGTCACGTTCGTAAAGACGCCATTCTGTCGCTTCCCGTTCCCGTTCGGATTGTAACAGTTCAAATTTATCGCGAGCTTCCTTCAATTCCTCTTGCACTTCAATTAACTTCAGTTGAAGCTGGGCATTTCCACCATCCGGACAACCGCACACCGGACAGTCGCAAACCGATATCCCCGATTTGTTTTCCGTAGTCTTTGTTTGCGACTCTGATGGGCCATCTCGTTTCTCCACCGAGCTACCGTTAGTTGCATCCCCAGGATTTTTCGTCCTTAAAGCTGTTAATTCTGTCGACAATTTCTGACATGAACCTTTGAGATTACTGTTCTCTAACTCCAAATTATCAACATTATCCTGCAGTTGAGATACTTTCTCCGTCAGGACACGACATTCACGAGCGAGGCCATCATTACTCTGAGCCAGATCGTTATTCTGACTGAGAAGAACCTGCTTCTCTTGTTCAACGGAGGCGTATAATTCACAGAAATGGTGTTCCCTTGACCCAGGTGTTTGAGCCCGCCGATCCGTGAGCAGCAAGTGTTTGAGCTGTTCAATTTGGAACCGACAGTGCTCTAACTTAGACGTCTGAGTAGAGAGCGCTTCCAAAAGAATTGCCCGTTCAAATGCCAAGTTATGGGCTTCTTCATGGGCTTCATCCACGCTGCGCTGTAAATCCCAAAGTTCCTGAAGTGTGGCTTGAAGTTCTTCGTTTGTGGTGTAATTTGCCTCCTCCATTTGTAGCAGCCGGCCCTGAAGAGTAGCAACCGAAACGGGCGGATTTGATAGAAGCCTCGTCTCGGCTGTCCTCGTTGTTGTTGTCATTTCCGTATTATCTCCGGCCATGTCGTGAGAGTAATTGGATGCACCACAATCCGCAGCGCTGTTCAAATCCAACGACAAAGTCGGTTCGTTCCAATCACCAGACATGGAGCTCATGGTAACTGTACCAGTGAAAGGCGTAGTCACTCCCCCAGGGGTGAGCCGAGTTGTGGTGCCCAAAGATTCTGGCGGAGACTGATGTGGAACACCAGGCTTTTTTACCAATGGATTGGACGATGGGGTGAGAATAGGTGCTCTCGGGACTTGGGTTGACTCAGACACTACTACTCCCTCCACCTCCTCGTCATCCTTTTTACCGTCATCTTCGACTATTTTAGATCGAAGTAGCAAATTCTCTTGCTTCATCTCTTCGGCCAGGGCGCGCGCCGTGTTGGCCTCTTCCTTCGCACGACGAACTTCAAAGGTGAGTTTTTCAATCTCCATCTTACGCGTTTCGGTCAGTTGAGTCAATTCTGAGATTCGAGCCTCATATTGTTTCTTCTCCTTTTCTACGCGAGATAAAAGATCGCTGTTAGCTGAGATGCGGTCCGCGTTATTCGCACGGGATTTCGGGTTACTAAAAGTATCACTTCCCGATTTGGAGGCAGCACAAGCTCCCGGAAGGTTAACAGCGCTACCGTGAAGTGGTTGTCGCAAAGGACCTGGACGTTTTGTCACTGTAGCAGATTTATTCCCGTTGTGTTGTGGAACCGCAGCAGGAGGCTTGAATGGAGTGGGTGCTTTCAAGTTTTGGAAACTGAATGATTTCCTTAAGCTTCGCCCCGTCTGGGTCGTGATTCCCGAGCGGTCAGATCCCTGAGAGGTGGATCGTGAGGAAGCTGAATTGGTGGTCCTGACTGTACTGGAATTGGGACGAGTAGGAGCTGCCTCTCTTCTTGGCTTCTGTGGATTCGCTATGACAGGCATTGGAAGTAAAAACAGCTGAAAAACATGGAAAGAACAAACGATGAAAATACGAAACGAAAAAGGAGCCGTGCACATCCAGAGAGTAAGCTAATCCTGTCAGTATGCCAACAACATGAGCATAATCGAAATGTAGTACGGTGAGCGGTAAGGGTACGGCAAGCGCGACACCACTTGACTACAAAGTTGGGGGGGAGCCTAGGTAGAAAATCTGCGCTTTCATTAAAGAAGTGGAAAAAAATTCCGGCTGTCGTGAAATTGTTAGTTTAGTGTGGTGAATCCAGATGAATGTCACTTCGCCTACCAAGTTGAAACTTCGTCAAGTTGTGAGTGAGGCTCACTTCTACGTCCAAAGCGCCCACAGACTGGTCTAGGTCGACAATGGACCGCCCATTTCAAGCTGCGATACAAATCGCTGACACATGAACGGATGAGACCGTCTTTACTGTGCTTCAATGGGGGCGCTGAATTGAGTAAAATCAACGAAAAATGTATGGACGTCGGAACAAATAATTCACATTAACTGTAAGTGTTAGGTGACATGCAGTGTCCTTGGCTTGATTAAGCTATACAAATTGTTCTCTTTCAAAATGCCCAATAAAAAGACCGGCCAAAAGCAGCCATTTCTGAGTGATTCAAATGCATCACCATCATCATCGACAGCATGACACCAACGCTTCGCTAGCGTACAGACATGATTTAATTGAAGGGATGAAGCTGGAGGGACTTGGTGATAGCTCTCTACAATCATTCCGAGGTGCCTACACTTCCAAACACTCATTCAGGTAACGTGGATAGAAACTGACAACAATAACGCCATTGATATCAGTTGACCGCGATAACTTGCAGCGTCTCCAACCAGGGGATCACGAGGCTTCCATCCTGGAAGGCTAGTAGCATCGACAGCACCAAAACACTACGTAACCTCTTTCACACCTCTCTGCCACGTCAAGGGTTGGCCACATCTCTGCTCCCACCACTTTGAGTTGGGCATGGAAAACAGCACTTTCTTCGGCACTCGCAACACATGTCCCAGGCAACGCAGTTTCTGATGCTGAAAACATTCTTCAATGGAACTACCCGTTGCACAGCCAAAAACCTTCAAACCGAAGCCTTCAAATTGCCAAGTTACGGATTCGCCGACACCAACCTACACGAGCTATGGTTCTGAGACAACGGTTGTCGAAAGCTTGAAGACGTCTCAGTCTCACAACCCGGACAGACCAAGTCTCACAGCCACACCAGGAAACAGCCCTCAATGTAGCACGATACACACATCACACAACCCGACCTCTGACTCTCGACTTTCCCTGTCTAGGCTTGGGCAACCTGGCAGTATCCCAGCCCTCGCGCAACCTTCGGGTGGCATGGCAGCTAGGCACCGAAATGGTGCTACAGCTGAACGGTTTATTTTTACATACATCACTTAAGATACACTATTTGTGACGCCATAGGTGTCTCAAATTAGCAAACACGACCCGAGCCTTACAGACTCGTGCAACTTCCAGTACTCCTTTCTGGATTGTAAGTGGCGTGTTCAAAGACCGCATGTGCAGGGGCATGCCCATGTGCAATGTGCATACCAAAGGACGAGATGACGTTGGTCAGTTCATCCAAAAACACCTGCGCCCTCTCCTCCTCTTCGAACATGAGATCTGCATATTCCAAATCGACAAGGTTTTCTTCACAGGCTATTTGAACACCAGGGTTTTGGAGACCCTCCAGCGTTCGTCTCATGGTTTCATCGATCACGAAGTTAAACAGGAATGGAGAGAGTGGGCAAACTTGACGGACACCGCTTTGTGTACGGAAGCTTTTGGAGAGCTCTCCGTAAACTCTCACACGTCCGGAAGTCTGAGAATACAAAGAACGTACTATGTTTACAAACTTCCGAGGCGTTCCTTGGTGGGCAAGCGTCTCAAGAAGAACAGACCGATCAACCGAGTCGAATGCGCCTCGGAAATCCAGGAATACTAGAATCGTGGGTCGCTTATACGTATGGCGTTGTTCTAGCACCTGACGCAGTGTGAAGATTTGGTCAACACAACCCCTACCAGGCCGGAATCCCGCTTGCTGCTCTCGAGTCAGTGTCTCACGAGCCACCGTAAGGCGACGAAGCACAATTGACGCCAACACTCTCGTTACAACCCTGCGGTCACTACGCGCCCTTTTTTGAAAACGGGCACTATCACCGATTCAACCCAGTCGTCTGGGACAGACTCCTTTTCCCAAATGCAAGCAAACAGATCGGACAAGCGCTGACTGAGGACTTCACCCCCGTCTTTGAACAGCGCGGGTGGGAGGTCATCCGGACCAGAGGCTCGGTGGGGCTTAAGAGAACATACTCAGTCGTAAACCTCCGCGGCCGTAGGTCGTTCCGCGTTCATCGTGCAGGGTTCTACTTCATTTGTGAGCTTTAGCTGAGCGCCAGACGGCGGCCACGACAGTTGTTGCTCAAAGTATTCAGCCCACCGGTCGAGACGTCCTTCTTCATTCGAGATGGTTGTTCCATTATGATGCTTGATCGTTTCGCTCACAGGTGGTTTCCGGGGGCCAGTAGCACGGATCAACTGAAATAATTTTCGGGAATTACCGGATCTCGGGACATCCTCCATTTCCTTGACGCTCTGCATCCACCACACTCCACAGTCGGATCGCACGCTCATTCTCACTTTGCGTCTGACGATTCGTCGCATCAAGTTGTGGTCGGGACCGGTTCGGATGTTTATCCGAGACTAAAGCAGTGCTACCGCTCGGTGTGACATCCAGTGCTTGAGTGCACCTGGTGGTGCCGTGCCACGGGTAAAGTTCCTAGCAATCTCATAATAGTAAGAGTTCACATCTGATAGTGGAGGATTTAGAAAGGACTTAAAAAGACGATTCTGTTAAGTTCGTCTAGAATCTAGATCTGCCAGTCTTTTGGTTGCTACACTATGTGCCTCCACCTTACGTAGTCCTGGAAAACATGAGAAGCGACTCCGGACGAGCGCGTGGTCGAAGTCCACAAATGTGTTCCAAAAGTGACCGAAATCCGTCATTAAGCCGCAACATCGGTAACTGATGGCAACTGCTGTGATCTATTTGAGTTTGTGGCTGGCTTCAAAATAAAAAACCGTTCAGCTTTAACACCCTTTCTGTGCCTAGCGGCCATGCCACCCAAAGAAAGCTCCAGGTCTGCGATACTGCCAGGTTGCCCAAAACTAGACAAGGTGTTGTGACTTGTCTAACGGTCGTGCAAGTCTTTATCGGCCACGTGGCTTCCTGCACCACCTGTTATCATCATCATCACCTAGCAATCTCATAATAGTAAGAGTTCACATCTGATAGTGGAGGATTTAGAAAGGACTTAAAAAGACGATTCTGTTAAGTTCGTCTAGAATCTAGATCTGCCAGTCTTTTGGTTGCTACACTATGTGCCTCCACCTTACGTAGTCCTGGAAAACATGAGAAGCGACTCCGGACGAGCGCGTGGTCGAAGTCCACAAATGTGTTCCAAAACGGCTAGCAATCAGTTATTGATCCGCGCCATCGACAACTGGTGACAATATGGTCGATTTGAGTTTGCGGTAAACATGCCGTTAGAGGACACCATATGGCCAGACGCCTTCGGCCATTTCGGAAGTTAGTACTGCAGAAAAACAGCCTGCGACCAGCACATTGCTGAAGCAACCATGCACCATTGTCCGTACGTACCAGGTCCAATCCATGTCGGCCTCCTAATTTGATATCCGTTACCCTAAACCTGCCCACTTGTGCATTCAAATCTCCGGCAAGCATCATGATGTCTGAGCTTTTAGCTCGCCGCAGCAGGGCATTCGGGACGTCATAAAACCTGTCTTTGACGGCATCGGAGCTACACTCAGTTGGGGCGTAGGCTGACACGACAAGCAGACATCAATCAACTTCCCGTTTGTGAGACTCCTTCACAAACATTGTTAGACGAACCGCACAGAGCTGATTATCAACAGGTATCCAGTCAAGCAAGGATACTCCCGCCCGGGATATACTACACCACAAGGCACGGTGGCTTAAGATAGCCCTTCATGGAGACAACGGAAGATAATCACGATTGAATTTATAGGGTAATCACAGTGTTCCACAAGTTCGTGTTGCGATCTTGTTGATGGGGCGAGAAGCGTTAGGCTGAAGATGTTCGATCCAGATTGGCTTGCACCCTGACCAATCAGGGCCAGCCTTCGTTTGACCCACGGCCTGCACGTGACGCATTCAACTAATCTACGTGCTGCTTGGCTATTAAGCGTGACTGGCCCCCGGACACATGCGGAGTCGAGAGGCGGAGGTCGGGTCTGAACCACGGACCTTCCATTCGGTTAATTCGCGCTCTAACCACTGAGGAATCTCGCCCGCATTGTCGTTGGATGACACCATGTGGTCAAAAAACAGAGGCGGAGGGTCTGAACCACGGACCTTCCATTCGGTTAATTCGCGCTCTAACCACTGAGGAATCTCGCCCGCATTGTCGTTGGATGACACCATGTGGTCAAAAAACTTCGGTTACTTCGGAAGCTCCTACTGCATAGAGATAGTTTGCACAGTTGAAGAAATGGTCCACCACCTTCTGTACGTGCCGAGTCCAATCCATGTCAACTTCCTGATTGCGTCCTGGATGCTCTAAGCCTTCCCACTTATTCATTCACATATCCGGCAACCACCCTGATATCTGAGCTTATAGCTCGCTGTAACGTGCATTCAGGGCGTCATAAAACATATCTTTGACGGCGTCGGAGCTACAGTCAGTTGTGGAGCAGCCAGCCATGATAACCAGATATCTGTCAACTTGCCGCTTGTGAGACACCTTCACAGGGGCTGCAGACAAACCGCACGGAGGTGGCTATCAACAGGTACTCAATGAATCAAGGATGCCTTCGCCTGGTGACTTAGGATGGTACCGAACTCTCACGTGCCGCCGTAACGGCATTTGGGTCACCAGAAATACGTATATAGAAGGGACTGCCGAGGGCGGTTAGCTCAACTACTGAGGTTAAAGCTTAAATTCTTGTTTCTGAGACACAGTGCATATCAGTGCCAAGTGAGTTCAGCGTGAATGCAAAAGCATCTTGTTGTTGTTCTTGCTACAGTGTGAGCAAATTGAAATCGGCCAGGCAGATTGGGCATCGGGGCTTGAAGATTAAATTTCGAGGTACCTGAGTATGCGGCGCGATGTGATGAGCGGATCTCGCACTTAAAACCAGTGCGTGACGAATGGAGTCATCCGTCCTAAATGCTGGATCTACAGCGGAAGCGTTATCAATGGGATGGAGAGAGGGAAAAAAGTAAGTAAAAAACAGAATAAAGGAACGCGTCAGCAGTAGCCTATTTTCGCTATACCAGCCCTGCCGTTTGCAGATTGTCGTAAGGTTTCCCGGCTGATGGCACCACGCGGCGGTTGTTGAGGTATGAGTCTATTGTGAGTAGTGGGTATCATGGCTGAGCGTTGGCTGAGCTCCTGTCAGGAGACGATCAGGGCATTCAAACAGAGCCTTTGGTCCAAAAACCTAACCACAATGCAGCGGTGCTTGGAGGGAAATGCAAACGCATTATTACATATGCGGAACAGGTCGATACATGTTCCACCCCCTAACCCGGAGGACCAGGAGACTGTGTGTCAGTTCCCCAACCACTGAACAACCGGGTATGGGAGACTGTGAGTATGGCAGTGGCCCCTCAAAGTATAATTCAGTGGGTCGCTGAGTTGCACAAACCATCACGTTACGGTAAGTTTCACTCTCTCTTCGTGACAGATGCAGCACCCATACTCTTTCGACAAACTTTGAACTGTCAATCATGTGTGCCGTCATCATCCTCATCTATGAGATCCGCGTACTTGTCGTACACTGGCTATGGCTGCCACAGTTTCGTTCACTGATGGGTTGGGGAGATGTGGTTAGATAGCGAAGCATTGGAGTTGAAATGATTGGTACGGGGATAGAGGCAGTGGAGCTATGCATTGGAAGCGATAGCTTGGATGCATGTGTGCCACTGAGGGCGGCAACGGGCTATCTAACAATGTCTCTAAACATTGATGTGTCCGGTCTTGGAGTCCCCATCCAGGGAGACAGCAATGACCAATGAAGCTGAGTTGGCTGGTAATGGATTTTGGCCTTCGCTACCAGGTCATCGTTTGACATTCCTCAGCGCGTTTCCACACTTTACGTGATTTGGCAGAAAGGACCTAAAAGAATTCGGTTGACTGGCATACTAGGCAAGTGACTTGTTATGTTCTCTACTAATCAGTCAATCAACCTACCTTGTTACACGCGAAATTGAGAAGACAAAAAGGCCTTGAGGAAATTATCCTTCAGCAACTGAACAGCCAATATCGAGATTCGAAGAATCAGGAATGGAATGGAACAAACAGTCCAATGAGAGGCTGAAATACAGAGAGAGAAATGTGAGCAATAT